GCTTATTAACTTTCTTCCACTGAAAAGAGGGCCCTTATTAGAGGGAGAGGGCTTATTTGAGAGCGGGGGGGGCTAATAGAGGATTTACGGTAGTTATTCATTTAATGAATTTTCGTTCTTCGACGGGTCACCTTGAGTTTGAGTTTCTTTTTAACTATTTAAAATATCGATAGGGATCAGAACTGTCAGGCATTAGACCTATTAAAACATCCTGCCGATTTTCACGTAGGCCAAGAACTTGAGAGGGGTCAAAGGAAAGGTCTGCAGCATGCGAATATCTTAAGCCGGCTCTTCGCGTGTCGAAAACTGGTTTCGAGAAAAAAACAACCGACTGTTTTGCAGTCCAGTTACGTGGAAAAATTGAAGAAAATGCCGAGAAATGAAAATGGACTAGAGCCCGGCAACAACATCTATGCGTTTTGGACACATTTGACTGGGGTTTCAATTCCGCAATCCCGACACAATTTTGTACAATCTCGTAAACCCGAGGGTTAATTTTGGTATTCCACCTCCCGCGCATACTTTCAATTCCGAATTTTCTTTCAAATCCCGAATCCCCAGCTTCGAATAACGGAGATCCCGGATCCCGAAAAACCTATTGGCCACCCCAACTAGCCGGGTCAACTTTTCTCCGTATAAACACCTTGGCTTGCCCAGCCAGGTCAACTCAGTACAGTCAAGGCAAGACAATCAGAGCATACGCAAGAGCTGTTAGCTAGGGCAAAAGGGTCAACGTTTTTCTCATATTAACCCCTGCAAAAAATGGCACGGTCTGGAGGGTGATGGGCCTAACTCTTCTGTACATAAACGGCGCCTGAGTGGTTCTACGAGCGGTCACGATGAGAGTATCTTGCCCGCTCGGGGTTACCCGCTTTGGTTGCGCAGGAGAAAGGGAGTTCTCTTTTTGATCTCATAATAAATCATTTATAATTGACCAAGCTTCTTCAGTCAAGATGTCTGCGTATTAGCTCCCTTCTCTTTTGTGGTCATAATACGCAAAAGAGGAACTTGGTCAATATCCAGTCATCTTGACCGAACAAGCTTGTTCAATTATAAATGATTATTATCTTATTATATCAGTCAAGATGTCTGCGTATTAGCTCCCTTCTCTTTTGTGGTCATAATACGCAAAAGAGGAACTTGGTCAATATCCAGTCATCTTGACCGAACAAGCTTGTTCAATTATAAATGATTATTATCTTATTATGCAGTTTAAAGTTCATAGACCGAGACGAATAAGTCGAGGACAATAAATCTGCGAAAAAAAAACGAGGTCAATATCCAGCCGTGTTTACCTCACGCCTGGTCAATAACACATATATCTTGACCGAACAAGTTTAGTCAATGAAGGATTTGTGATATGGTTAAAACAACTCGAGCAGTGGTGGATCCAGACCTTCAGATAAGGGGGGAGGGGGGGGGGCAGGGGCGGTGATCCAGACCCTGAGATAAAGCGGGGGGAGCGGTCTTAAGAATTTTTTCTTAATCTTTTTCGATTGGAAAGCTTGACGTCCTCTGTAGCCTGCATAACAGGTGCTTTATGAGAGAGGCGAGTCTAACTCGGAATTTTACGCGAACCGCGAGACAAGCGCGAATCGCGAGATGAGGGGAGGAGAAAAACATTTTTTCTTTTCTCCCGTCTCGCGCTTCAGGCAAAATGCCGCGTTCGCCTCGCTTGGCTCATAAAGCGCATGTTATGGAAGCTAAACTAGTTTCATAGTTTTCAATTATAATTTTAGTGCTTTTCTGTTGCAAAAATTTTCCGTTTAAGCACATGTTTGGTATTTTTATAATGCCCTCCTTGTTTTATATGGACTGGACAAGCCAAGCTTTACGGCGAAATTAAAGAAAGAAAATCGCTGTCAAGAGTAAGCAATTCGAAAGTTAAATGCAATTGAGTCTGTTCTGACCAATCTCGGAGGACGTAGGTAAGCATTGATTTTCTCAAAGCAGGTGGGTTTTCTAGTCAATATAAAATTGAAGCAGGTGCCAAGTCTAGTCGTTGATCGGAAAGAATTGTTTGGTAGTAACTAGTAAAAATCGTAACGAATAAAAGCGTTCAAAGAAGACAAAAGCCTTAATCTTTTGTTGAAGAACTTACTAGTTCCCCCTAAAAAGTCGTTAAACAAAGGTTAGCCAGTCAGAACACAGGATGTACTGATCTTTCCCGCTCGCAAAGCAAGTCTTACAATAAATAGGCCTGATAACAACATAAGTAGATACCGAAAGGAACTATCCTTGTTATACAGGGATTAGCGGCAGCGTGTACGTAGCGGTTGTTACCGTCTTTTTAAAGTAAAAATCTGTTCCCTTTTTTCAAAAAGCTCAAACATACATATCATCAAGGTAGTGTCTCCTCTCAAAGAATAACCATTGAAGTCTTAGGACATTTTTAGCCCAAAGGGAATGTTAGCAACCTGGTTCCCATACAGAGTACAGCCGTGTCATCCCCTTATAAGGGAGTAAGACTTGTGTCACGCTCAGCTAGATAATGACTACGCACAAGTGTACTCGCTGTATAGTTTGAAAGAATTGTTAATTGTCCGTAATATGGGAGTGTCATGTGACCTTCAGCACACGTGTACCAATCGCGGCTTTCGAAGACGCTTCCCACCTTCTTAACTGAGAAGACGATGCGCAATCGGAATGATCTGAAATAGTCGGGTTTGTCGAACGTAGGTTTGAGGTACTGCTCCAGAGGAAAACGTCGAAAAACCTTACATTACAAATCGAGTAAATTCATGTAAATGTAAGTCGAGCGGGGAGTTGGGGGGGGGGAAGAGGGGGTCACGGGTTGAGGGTATAATTTTTAAGTGACCAGGAGTGGGGTTCGGGTTAACTTGCCTATATTGGGGGGGGACGTTATATTACTTTATGTAAGGCCTATTTTTTCACCCCCCCCCCCCCCCCCCCCCTCCTCATTTCTCACCATCCTCACTATTTCCTCTTTTTTTTTTTTTTTTTGTTCTTTCGTTNGCTGGACTCTTGAAATTCGAACTTGTCAAGCTAATTTATTTGAATCCGAGCTTGATTTTTTTCAAGTTGAAATTGAGAAAGGATAACTAACCTTCCCGTCTTCATGTACATTTTAAAGCGAGAATTTTATTGTTTGACATCACCGTTAATCTATAGAAATGGCAAACAGTTGGACTGAGTTCTGATACAACGTATGTGCCGAGGCAATAAGCCTTATTATTTAACGGACTTCTCACTGAGGTGGCGTAGAAGGTGCGTGAGAAGTATGTAGAAAACACGGAGCGGGAGAAGCGAGTGAGCAACAGAAGCGCGAGCTGCTCGATTCAACACCTTTCCCTTCTCTTCCCATCGTTTGCTTCCACGAGGGCTGAAGGTATAAGAGAGCTTGAACCAAAAACAGCGCTCTGGGCAGGTTAAAAGACAATTTCTACATTAGCGCGCCCGTAACTTAAATCCTTGGTTTGTGTGGTCCGGGAGCATAGAGAAGTTTTCTTGCTTCTGGTCTTCGTCTTGACTTCCGGGTTCTCCAAACAAAAACAACAACAATCACCACAACAGCTGTTAAACACACAGCTAACGCTACAGCTGCCGCAGGGGGGAAGTCATCTGTGGCGGAGTCCTGATCATCGTCACTGATCAGTTCGCTCATAACAGTGTTACTGTTGGTTTTGGTGAATAAGTATGGGCTTTCCTGAAAACATAAAGTTACAAAGTAATAGTCAGCCCTGTGCCATGGACAGAGCCAGGTGTCCGCATTACAGAGATGTAAGTACTTTTTACTTAACATAAACAGTGGAAGTGCCAGCTTTATAAAAAGGCGTTTGCCTGCTCTAGTGGAGCTGTAAACGGCTACATTTGGACAAATCATCAGAATGACAACAGTTACGTTGACTTTTAACTGATTAAACTACATTGAGACAAGACCATTTGTTTTGGACATGAATTAAGTTAACTGAAAAATCTCCCTGGTACAGTTTGAAACAAACCTTTGTGGGACACTTGAGATTTTCTTGATCTCCCCAGCCTTTTGTTTTAGAACCAAATGGCTCCAACTACAAACAATGGATAAATGAACATGTTACATGACTTTTATGAACATGCTTCAGTAGGAAGCTTGACCCCACATCCTATAAGTAAAACCCAATTGCACACTTAACGCTTTTAAGACATCAAATTTTAAAATAATATTACTTGTAGAACTTCCCGACGATCCTCAACATGCGGACGAAACGCGTAGGAGATTAAATCGCTTTTACAAGTTTCAGGTCGTTCGAGTGCTGCTCATTTAAATATAAATGTTTAATCAATCAGTCAGGTCATGAGAATCACTGATATAGAGACCTCCCCGGCTGAAGCTGAAGCTTATTCTTATGTTAGATGCATATTACAGAATAGCTACTCCCTTGTTAATGGGAAGCTATAGCATCATGAATGACGCCAAAATTTCAGTGAAGCGTACATGGCAGACGTCGAAGCGGATCGGGGAGGAAAGGGAAAAGAGAGGGGGATTGGGGAGAGACGAGCGTTTTTCTCCCCTCTCCCTCCCCTGACCCTTTTTTTATGACAACGACCTAGGCTATGGATGCGAGGCCGCCTAATAAAAGAAAACAAAGGACCAGAAATGGATGGACAGGAAAACATAGGCGTTGTTTTAAGATAATACCATACCATGTTTCTCCACAAGGCTAGAGCTGCTGCTGCATGGCCCTGTGCTGAAAAGTGCAGACAGTCCAAGCCGAAAAATTCCTCAACTAATTTTCCACCCTACAAGAAGAATAGGCAACGGTAATGATTTAATACTTCTTCTTTACCTACAATAGATGATAACGAGCCCTGGTTGGTGGGAAGCTATATAAATGCCCTTTTAAAGAGAAGACTATGATTTGAATTCTTTCTTTAAGCAGGCTTTAATTGGGGGGTGGGGGGCTAAGGAAAAGGTATTTAAAGTCCCGCGCTGGTGCAATACAGTTGAACTATTTAGTGTTTTTCACATGACGTCACGGCGGCCATATTGGTGTTTCAAAACAACGAAACAGTGGCCATGTTGGTGTACCAAGAAAATCCGGTGGGTGTTGAACTCCTTTCTTACGTAAAAGTTTTCTTTTTTCCAAGATATTTTCATAGACGCTGGCTACGAGAGTGAAAATGCTCTATAAATTCCGTCTTAATCCGTGAAAAGCCGAGGATCTTTAGGAAAAACAAAGCCAACACGGCAGCCCTCGTCCCTTTTTTCAAGATTATGCTCAAAAAGCTCCGCTTACTACCAGAAATATCAATAAACTACATGAGCGACATCTGGGCAAACGGAATAAGTTACTTTCAGTCTGACAACGACACGTTATCTATGGACAACGACACGTTATCTATGAACACTCAGATAACGGAAAACTAATTAAATAGCAAAAGAGCAGCTTCTCGTACCTTAGTTTTCGGAGGCAGTTGAAGAGCAGGTTGAATAACAACCGCAAAGTCGTTCTGTGTGTCATAAAGACCACTGCTTACTAGTTCCATCAAAAGGCGCTAAAAACGGTAAAAAAATAAACGTTCAATCACAAAGACACCTCCTACAAGAACATCACAAATTCTAAACGATGTTAACCCACTATTAAAAACGAGATCTCAAGGTTTTTTAAAAGTTTTATTCTGTATCAGATGTCCCATCCTTATTAGAGCTACAAGACAAGTTACCTTGTAATTTTTCACTGCTTGGGAAATTTTGGCTCTTTCCTCGCCACCTTTCTTCAAGCACTGGCATGAATTCCTGAAAGAAAAAGAACACAACAACAATAACATGGAGTATTACTTTATAACAAAAAAGGTAAGGGGAGGTTTAGACTACTGCCACGGATTATAACTCAAAGAAAATACTACTTTTAATAATTAACTGAACAACTAATAGTTTCAGAAAACCACAGTTCATAAGGAGTGTACCAGACTGATTGCACAACTCTTGGAAACACTGGGTACCTGTAACCTAGCCTCAAATCCGATGTATCACATGCTGATGAATTTTCACTAAGATAGTTGAAATTTCTTACAATTGCTACAATGTCAGCGACTAGTTTATAAAATCAAAGTAGTTCAAATCACTGAAACGAGCCAAAAACGTTTACCCCAGATAATGGAACCGGCAACAAGATAATGGGTAAAAATTATGCAACTTTGGCAGCTGAAATGGTCATACTATCACACCACGCCAAAGCAGTGTTACTAAACATTCTGTATTTCACTCACCAGCCCATGATTTCACAGGACTTGGTAGATCCACCATGCAATTCATAAAGTACAGACACATCCATGGGCGGGACCAAGTTGACAAACAGATGGGGTACCTGTTCAGTCAAACAAAGCAACTGGGTATACTCCTACATCACACTGATAAAGGCCTCATTGATCCTATTACTGGTAGCTAATTGAGTGTCGTGACTCTAACGAGTGTTGTCAATCTAAGGTGTGTGGTGACGTTAACTATTGTTGCAACTCTGAAGAGTAGTGTGACTCTGAAATTACTTATAACGAACCAGTATGATTTATTTTTTCTACGAAAATGAAAGACTTTAGAGAAAATAAAAGTTAAATATTTTAACAAACCTCCTCTTTCAGGTAATTAAGAGTGCGCATGACATATTTTATGAAAGACCTTGGGCCAAGTTTATCCTGAAAACATAAAAATTAAAACTTTGTGACTTTTGATAGACTACGAGTAGTCCCCATTTTTCCTCAGGGATAGTAGAGTGAGTGAAACACGAGCACGCTTGAAATCACCCCACGAGAAACAGGAGAAAGGCGAGATACGGAGAGACCAGCAGGCTTTTCCTGTTTTTCACGTGGGGTGATTTTCACGCGCGCTCGCGTTTCACTCGCTCTACTATCCCTGAGGAAAAATGGGGACTACTCGTAGTCTAGACTTTTGATTGATAACACAAATTATTTTCTGGTAACTGCATAGTTTTTAAAATGTGGCCCACAATTAAGGACAAACAAAAAAATTATTAAAACAAGCATAACAAGTTAGAGTCCCAACTGGCTGAGAACAAACCAGTTAGAAATTTACAAGCTTGGCTGAGGAGCTGAATGTGGGACTGCCAAAAACAAACCCAGCTGACAGGCTTGAACCAAGGGAGTCCTCATTGCAAGTCCAGCACTCTAAGGCACTCTAACCACTTGGCTGTGCCGCCTCCTTATTTAAAAAAGCATATAATATGTGAAATTCAAGACCAATCATTCCACCACCTTTGATAAACAGGTGTTTAATCATGATTCCTTGAATTTATATGACTAGCACTTTAACCAGAGGGGTTATATGCTTCTGCTTTAACTGAATCAACATAGAAGTCATAAAATTGATGAGCCCCCAAAACAAGACACAGATTAATATTTAATTTGATCACATAATTCAAAGCAATCATACCATGTCTGTGCAAACTTGACAGAGATCCTCTGTTCCAATCCACATGGTGAGAAGTTTCCAGTCATTTTCATAATCAATGTTCTAATTAAGAATTAGCAAAACAAAGAAAAACCGTTAATTACATTTTTTACTGAATGCACTCTTAAACAAACCTAAGGACACTCATAAATCTGGCATATAATACATGTACATGTACCTTCATGTTTTTCAATCTTGAAACAAAGTCTTTTGCTTGATTCTCCAGGTCTCTAATAAAAGTATCAAAGAATAAGACAAATTTTGCCTTTTTAACAACACATACAAGTTGCAATAAAATTAAGTACTACATTATTCTACATGACGCAAGTGTAAATGTTTATTTTTATTTATTCTGACCTTGCTGAGGCTCCAACAAAGGCCACATTCAGATCATCATTATAAGGGTTGTTGTCCTTTGACTGGCTTGTTACTGATGTACCTTTCAGTAAAGGGTTAAACTGTCTGATGATATCTGTAAGTGTATGGAATGAACAATAATTTAGATTACTGCTAGCATTTCAATACAATTTCTGTTTTGAATCATTCTTGTTGACCCAGGGGCAGTCAGTGACCTGCAAAAAAATGTGTACAGTATGTGTACATACATTGTACAGTGAATTGTTACAAATAACATATGCTATATTGAGTGCTGAGGGTCATATCATAAAAAACCAATGAAAACCAACTCCAACCAACAATGTAGTTCAGAATCAATGAGTCCCAGTACAAAGAACCAATGATTTTATAAGTAATCAACTGTCTCAAATAAAAATGCTTTTGTTTTGATAATTCAGAAATTGCTTCTAAATTTTTTGATGATATTGCTCTCTTCTGGTCAGGTAAGTTTTATTACAGGTTAAAGACACAAACAGAAGTTCAAAAACATCCTACATCCATCCAGTATGGACAAGTGTCATTGATTTAAGGTAAATTAATCCAAACTGTACTAGAAAAAAGAAAAAGAAATTAAACCACGGACAAAACTGAATCATAAAACATGGGTAAATACATATGTGTTCATAGGAAAGGCCGTTTTAGACAGTACAATTGTTGCTTACGTCTATCATGCGCAACGAGCATGCATCATGACTTCACAGCTGATTGTGTTGTGTAAATTAGACCCACAACATTCGTATGACACATTGTGGATGCTGTAAGTGAAAATTGTGAACGTGTGGATGGTTGAAAGTCATGACATATGCTAGTTGCATACAACAGTAAGTTGTAATACCATCTAAATTGGCCTTAATGGTACTCACTTGGTAAAGTTGTGGATTGGTTCAAATATCCTTCCCCTCCAATGCTTCAAATTGAAAAATAAGGAAAAACTGATCACACAACTTAAAGTTGGTGAGCATGTAATTTAGTCAACTGTCTCCCTTAAAAGAGGACAGTATATCTTCCAGCAATTTGGTTGATTAAAGCACATAAAGTGGTGATACCCAATCAAACACAAGCTAACATTAATAATTGACTGTGGTGTTGTTTTAACAGAATGGTTAAAACCCTATTAACGACTTGTTTGCAATATCAAGTAACCTAGACATTGGCTCATGATGAACACTATCTATAAATAAATAATTGCATTTTTCACTCAATGGTTCACTGAACCCTAAGCTGAATTAAGTTTTTGAGAAAATACGTAGTCATTGGGTGAAAGCATCCACATCATTAAGTCTTAAATTTTAGAAATCAAAAGCAACAACAAGTTAGTAATATATGATAAATTCTTACCTCCATGAGATTCCTTTAAAATCAGTAAAAAATCCATTAAGGGACAAGGCTTGTGCACCAAGGCCAATCTTGGAAAAAATAATCATAAATAAGTTCATCAATATTCTCATCAAGAATGAATATTTTGAATGCAAAAGGCAGTGGTACAAACATCTAAAACCAACATGTACTTGACACAAGCAGCTTGACTTACAAAAGATAATTTTTTTTAGCTATTCCTTGGTAAATAAACATACAACAGTAAGTTAAACATGTTACATACTGTAAATGCATCACCCATTGCTGCAATAACTTTGATATCTGATACTTGTAATTGGTGAACTGAAAAAAAATTTTAAATAGATATTAATAATAAGTTAGACAAAGTAATTTAAATGTCTCATGCAAAAGACAGGCGAAAGTTACACATGTGGGTGCCTGAGGCCCCTGTGGTTACTCTTAGAGAAGGCCAAACTGTCATGTACTGTTCATTTTATAGTTTATCACTAATACAAAAGACAAAATATTAACGGATACAAAATAAAGTATAACCAACCTGAGCTTGGCCTTTGTTGGAAACTCCTAGGCAATGGGCTACAGTATTCTATTGTTCCGATGGGCTTTATTATGAACAAAACAGAGTGATAATTATCATGATATCACTGGTATATATGTTTCACTTACAAGGTTATCAGAGTCACTGGGACAACATCTCTGTGTACATGTGCTGTAAATTAATGACATGGTCTTAAGCACATTTTGGCTCAAAGAGTGATGATGATGATGATGATGATGATGATGATGATGATGATGATGATGATGATGAACCCACAACAGAGCTTCTGGCCTGTACTACTGTACAGTTATGTACTTAAATGTATTGCTAGTGGAAAATAGTGCTATGGAAGTTACTGTTAAAGGCAGGTTTATTCAGTCACCAGAGACAAATTCAAGGGCTTGCCAAAAAACAGCGGTACAGCTGTAACCCTCAGTGACTAATCATTGCTAGATTCTCCTTTCATATTTGCCTTGTATACGTATATGCTCATGAATTAAAAAGAGAATTTGTCACTGGATCAGGATTCATATAGGGCCTTCTTCCACTCACCCCTTAACAAAGATGTACATGTACCTGTATGTAGTGGTTTACATGTGTACACCGTACTTGTGGTTTGGGTAAAATACATTTTGACTACTTGCCAGGATTTCACCAGTATTCCACCTATAGTAAGTTTATTTCAAAATTTCTACTTTTGACTGTACCCATAGTAAAGAAGGCAAGGGAAAATCTGGTTTAAGCTGGGAAAAGATTTTATCTACAACACTATCAGTTGCACTGCTGTTCCTGCTGTGGTAGAGACTGCTGTACATGTACGTATATCAAGATACTCCTCTTTTATGATAAAATGATTTTATACTCCACTGAAAATACTTTTACCTGAAGGAGTTGCTGTTGTTTTGTCCATCCACTTATCCCTGATTTATCCTTCATGTACAAGACATAAGATTTAAGATCCTTCAAGTTTTCTGGCATTTTAAAAGCTTTTGCAGCTTCCACATTTTCCACTAGAGGTAAATAAAAACATTTAAGGTTAGCATCACAATTTTAATTTCAGATAATAGGTTGGCTATTAGACAAGAGTTTTGAAGTTTAGGATTGGTAACATATAAGCATCTCAGAGAGTTAACAATCATGTTTTTCTTCTAATCTTGAAATAATCAAGACTGAGGTTTAACTTTGAAGGTTAAATAGTAGAAAATCACTATTAATGCAAACTATACTGTACAAGGTGACTGAAAAATCATTTCTAACAACAGTATTCCCATTACCCTAAAACAGGGTGCGCTAAAACCTATGTCTGCATGATTGTCCGGCACAGGTAGAAATTCAGTTTGGAAATGTAAACCTTTGACGTGAATTCTCCGTGGAACAAGCACATTTTTAATAAGAAAAAATAAAGAAACAGTTCAAATTAAAGTAGAATTGTAATTCATCTTAAAAAGTCATAAAAGCAAACCTCACAGTTGACAAAATAAGGTTAAATATTCCTTTTAACTCTGCCATTCCACGGTTATTTGATTTGTTCTTACGAGCTCTGTTTTAGCTCTAAGTCAAAAACAATTTACAAGGGTAATATTAAATGAAAGATTGTTTTTGAGTTTCAAGTTTCCAGCTAAACTTTTTGGACAAAGACTCTTGGGTTTTGGACGACCAAATTTAATATAGTGCTTGTCGGAAGGAAGAGTGGATAGTAAAATTTTTCTCTTACTCTGCCAGTGACTTCCTCACCTAACACATCAATTGAAGCTGATACATCACCATAAATACATGAATACGTCCCAAGGGTATCAAGGGTGATATTTGAGAATGAAATAGCAGTCTTTGACATATCGTTGGACCAATAACGTAAGCTTTTCACAGGCTCAGCCTTAGGAGCAGTCTTGTACCATTTAACAATTTCATCCCTTTTATCCCGGTGGTCTCCATCTTGTGGTAGAGGAGGTGTGATATCACAAATCAATCGAAGAATGCTTCCGCTGTGTTCCTTGTCCATAACCACTTCCGAAGTGTGGACATTTTCAAGTCTTGGATTCTCCCATAAATATCCAACTTTGACAGAAGATGAATTAATGACCAGTGATGATAAACCAGTAACAAATGCTGCAAAAATAACTACATTTGTTTTTTTTGTTTTTTTTCTCAGCTGATAATGCGCGCGTGCATTGATTTAATTTATTAACAAGACTTAACAAGCCTTAGTATCAGTAACAAAAACTAACCATTAGGTTCAACTAGAACCCCTTATGGGTTTCTGGTTCAACAAATTCCGCATCATACAAACATTAGCTGTTACGTGTGGCATGCAAAAGCTTTTATTATAGTAACAAATAAATTAATATGGACAATCTCAAAGACTTCAGCTAAAACTTATTTTATTTCCGTTTACTTTTCTTTTTTATTTTTCTTTTCTTGCAAAGCGGTGGTGGGAAATTCTGCCAGGAACATGTCTCCAACAAAGGATATTTTCTATGTTTACATGTTTCCAGTTAAACAAAGCAAACGCTCTTCAACGGAGATTATTCTCAAACAAGTTACTATGCAAATCATCAGTATTTTTCTCCAAAAGTAGCTCTTTAAGTACAGAAAATCACCATTAATCGTATCGAAACTGTAAAACCTAGTTACTTACCTTGTAGAAAGAGAAAAACGCAAAAAAGAGTTAGTTTCCAAGCAGCAATAACAGTCGCCATTATTTTGAGCGTTCCAGTTTGCTTTCCTGCGCCCGAGATCGCCAATTTGAACTTGAACAGCGTACATTTGGGTAGTTCCAGTCCTTGTCAGTCAAGCGTGATACAAAGTGAAGAGACCTCGAGCAGAAAAAATGAAGTAGTCTGAGTATCAGGCGACAAAAAAGAAGATTTAAAACGTGATTTAATAAAGATACAACAACATCGTCACAATACGTACACTATACAGACTTAGGTTAACTACGTAGGATTAAGTTTATTTCCTGTTAGACAGATCCTCAAGGTACAGTTTCGCGTTCAGCATGAATTCAAAGTTAAGCCAGAGAATTTGAAAGAAAAATAAATCATCTCAGTAAATTGTTTCAGAATTGTTGAGACTAGAAATTTTAATTTTAATTAAAGCAATTAAAATAGCATTTATCTGAAAACATGCTGTCCTATTTACAACAATGTTTTAACACTGACTTGCTGGCCTGTGGTTCAATAAGTCTTCAGCAATGTTCATTATCATCTTTAATGAGGCGGTTCTATTGTATTCAAAATTTTATTTCAATATGAACGGTCACGCCCTCCGATATAACCCTAGCCTGACATTACTTCGATAAAACAAACTCGGCGGATCTGTTCAGCGTGCGGCGTTAAAACAGCTTTTTAAATTGTTCAAGTCACGAGCTAGAGTCAGGAGGCGTGTGTCAAAATAGTGATTTAAAAAATGTTATCGTTTTTAATCATTTCATTGCTAGTCTCTCTTGTCGGAGGCCGTTTAAACTCAGAGTTTGCCAGGAGCGGATCAATTAAAGTATCAAAGACCAAAGAACTGGAAAATGGTATGTATTTCAGTGTATTTTAAATACGTCAATGCATGGATCTTTCTTTTAATCCTATTTTTTCAATTTCAAGTATACTTGTGGCTCATGTTCCATGAAATTTCTTAATTGAATAAAGGGAATTTCTGGAATGAGACAAATCCGTTTCGACTACAGGGAACGGTTCATCTCACGGGTCAGCGTGTAGAGGAAAAAATATAGGGTTTTTGGACTAAACGATATGGATCTAAAGTAACAGAAATATTTGCAAAAAAAACTCACTCAGTTTTAACATTTCTTTCCGTTTTTGTTAAGATCAAACTAACCGGCAGTTCAATTTTGGCGAATCTCTTTCTGAGGGAGGAACAACCATTTGTGGATTGGTGAGTGAGACGCGTCATTATGGACAAGGTAAGAAAAATCTCTTACTTCAAAATTTCTAACCTTATTTTTTAGGAACTTCCCGTAGGTGGTATTAATTTTTTTTCGCTTGTGCAACAGGGACAAGTTGCATAACAATAAAGTGAAAAAGAACAAGTACCTATTGCCATATGCTAGCTAAATTAAAAGTTCCAGGCAAGGCTATTGACCGAGAGAATGTGACAGAATTGAAATAAAAACAGGTGGTAGAATTTATTTGCCCTACAGTGTATTTGACGTTGTGGCTTTATACCTTAGATCTTTCAGCCATATTGTCGATATTTATAGCTGGCTGGGCGAGCAGGTAGGATAAAGCGAATCATGCTTTCTGATTGGCTACCCGATTTGGTAAGATGTGCCTATGTTCGTGGACTATATTCTTCAATCTTCTTCTTCTAAAATCTTGGTTTGTGAAAAGCTAAGTGACTCACTATGCACCCTTCCAGTTGGTATTTTTATTAAATTTCATGAAAATAAGAGGAGGGAACAATGACAGATTGTTTGATCGCTCACGCGTTCTTAATTTAGCAAAAATAGGCGCCTCAGTCTAAACCCAAGATAGCGTCGGTGGTTGATGATTTCTGTGAACTGAAGCTCGTAGAAATTTACAGTCGGCTTGAATATTGATATGATTATGATTTAATGTTCTTTTCAGGAGTAAACTTTCAAGTTGAACAAAGGCGGGTCAATTTCTGTCGGATCGCTCATGTTTCGTCATTGACAAAAACCAAGGAACAACATAATGGAGTGGTAAGAATGGTCGGGGAAACTGCCCGCCTACTCCTCCCCTAAGCCAACATTTTGCCCTAAGTGAGAATTAAGTGTAAATGTTGGCTTAGGGGAGGGGTAGGTGGGCAGTTTTCCAGGAACACATGATGATCCCAATGATCTTTATGAAGGATAAAATATTACGGGATAATGACAAAATGAATGAAAATCTATTGTCTCTAATTATTTCAGCCTTGTTCCGCCCCTCAGATGTGTGTGGCAAATCAAAGTTTATTTGAGGAAGTATTTTTGCTAGATGGCCACAGGGAGTCCACAAGCGCTGTTAGCTGTCGGTGCATCGATCCTCGCCGCTCTTGTTACAGGGTGCCCAACATCCAGGTGCTCAACTGGGGGACTACTTATGAGAGAGCTGTTGATGTGGGTCTATGTGTTGGCTCATGCAGCAAAGGTATAAAAGGGTATCCTGAGAAAAAAGCCGACATTTCGGGACGCCACCACTGGTTTCCCCGCGAAATGACGTCTGAGAAAATTCCATACTGATGACGTTCACAACCAAGATCTGGGTAGTGCTTCTGATTGATTGAAGCAAATTTCCCTCGAGACCAGGGTCTTGAGACGTCATCTGTATAGAATTTCTACAGTCGTTGCCCAGACGTCATTTCGCGGGGAAACCAGTGTTAGCGTCGCGTTAGAGTGGCTGTTTTCTCAGGTTAATAAAAGTGATATCCGTATAAAAAGGGATGCCGTTAAATAAGAACGAAACGTGCTTTTTAGAAAAATGTACCTAAAGGTTTTATGTGATAGAACATCAAAAAAATGTTTCTTCGTCTATCATTTTTTCTCAGGGACGAAAGCATGCCACGCCATCGACACTAAAACTGTTAGCATCAAAGGCCCAAATGGTAAGACTGTTTTCTTATACTTTGAGTTAGTTCTGATGGTTTGGTAACTAGATGTATTGATATGCCAGCATAATTAAATGCCTACAATCTGATGTCTTTTTACACTTAAAGACATAGGAGGCTTGAACTTTCCCGTTTTCCACCTTGTTGTCTTCGCACTTTTATAGTACTGAAAACAAAGAGAGGTTACACGTTCTCATTGTTCCAGAATTGATAGCTGACATTTGCCTTGTCTTACGCGCTGTGATTGGCCCAATATATTGTGGCTTCTTTCTCGATCAAACAATTAGAAGTAAAACTAAAGCAATTCACAAATCGTTCCAACACATTTTCTCGCAATTAGACCCAGCCTCGTTTCCAGGGCCTTTCCCATAAGCCATCATGAGAGGTATAAAAGTAATTCTGATAGTGTTAAATTTCGACAATTATTTGAACTTTTGTATCTTTGATCCTTATGTAAATTCTTTATCATTTCTTGGGGCATACTGCTATTTAACCGCAGAAGGGTGCAAAGGAGTTGCTCAGGAACACATGGCGCTTTTTAAGTCGATTGAATACGTGTCTACTTTGTGTGATTTCGTAGGTGCTCATTGCGTGCAAAAAATCCAAAGGTGTGGTTGTGTGCGTGGCTGCTATCGAGCGTCATTCCGCCAACTTTACACTGCCACCGTATTTGACGTGCAGACGAATAGAAACAAGACGTTGGAAGAGGTGAGCTGAAGTTAAGACATGATAAGATCCGGATTTAACTAATTTCTACTGACGGCACTTTGTAGAGTACACAGCCGTGCGTTGAATTAAGTAACTGCTTTTTTATATAGGTGGTAGATATCGGACGTTGTAATGGGGAATGTCCTAAAAGGAACAAGCAGCAATGCCTTCACTGGTAAGAATCTAACCCAAAAAGTTATTCAGTAAAATAACTTTCATTTCGACTCATCTAGGAAAGTTTGTTCTAATATAATGATGCCTGTTTAGTTAAGGTAAAAAAAAATAAAACTGCAAAAACCGTGTACAAACAATCTTGTACAACGTCGGATCCAAAGAGATCATGATCAGTCAAAATATATAAAATTGAAAACGTTACAGTCAAGAAGACTTTTGCAGGGACTGATCAAACAACGTGATATAGAGTTAAGTTGCGATATTTCGACTGGCCAATATCAGACATCATCAGGTTATTAATGATGTCCATTACTGTTATTTATAATGATGATGATGATGATGATGATGATGATAATGAGGATGACGACGACGACGATTGCTATATATAGGAGACTAGAGAGATTGCCATCATATCTTTTTCTAACTCAGCCAACTTGTTTTCAGGGTAGATAATCCTGAGTGGACCCCAGGCTCCGAGCTGCCACAAAAAGTCTGTATGCTGTCAAAACCAGGTGGAGACTCTGCACGAAAATGTCGCCCGCGGTCTTTCGCGCCACTCGTTCTGTTTGCCAAGGAGGGCGCTCCCAAAGTTATTAACGCCATAAAACGTTGCAAATGTTATTGATGAAATCTTCGTATTTTATAATAAACAACAAATCGTACTGAACTAAAGCACTTACTATTAGTCTGACTGGCTTGGATTGATCAGCCGATGTAACTGATGCGACTCAAATCTGCTTTAACTCTTAATTTTCACTACTACCTTCTGGGATCAAGCTTGATAATAATTCGGGAAGAAACAACGGAGGAAATAAATGTAGGTATATAGCAACGTTGGTTTGGAAATGTCATTTTACTAAGTTAAAATATATGAACTTTTGTTCAGAATTTCTCCAAGCACTCATTGAAATACCTTGTACACAGTCCCACCCACAAATCGATGTTCAAATACAGTATAATAGCATGTGAAACACTTCCTCGCAAGTTTGGTATTTTGAACCAAGCCTAAGTGACAGAATAACGTGGCTTAAGTCTTGGGAGTTCCTAAGAGTTAGGTCGGAACCTATTTTTATGCCAACAAAGCTAGACAAATGGTAAATGCTTAGTTCATTATCAGTCAGTGTATATTGTATATTGGGTCAAAAGTGCACGTCACGATCAGTCTCCATGATCATCAGACGTTATTTTTACTGATATATCTCGTAAATTGAAAAAAAAAGAGACTTTCTAGAGCCGTCAGATCAATTTGCAAAGACGTACTGTACTTTCCTCTCTAACCTCTTATTTACTCACCTGTACTTAAGCAAATATTATGTTAGTTGCACTTGCAGTAAAGGCACTGAACTTGTAAAGATGGAATTTTGTGGTGTTTTTGACACTCTTATTTATAATTAAACGGACTTAAAATTTAAAACGGACTAATCAAGTCTCCGTAATCTTGAGACGACATGAAGTGGTCCCAGTTTATGTTTTAATTCTCTTCGTGAAATAACAACTATTACGTAGAACTATGACGATCATGGAGAAAAACAAAGCGCAAAAAAGGGAGTTTTTCATGCCATTTCAAAGATCAAAACGTTGAAGGCGTTTTAACCGCTGCCTTATCATACGTAGTCGCTGTGTAGCACACTATATCATACTGAAGAGGATGATTTGTACACATAAAAAAGGACTCCTTCGGACACGCATCAAATTTCCCCACCGACCAAATCAGTCGCAGTTGACCAGTTCGGCCAGGGAAAAAATTCTTAGTCACCTTTACAATGTCATAACTGCAGTCTTGCGGTCCAATATTTGTATTGCTGAATTAGTGCATACAATTTAAATGGGATAGTTGAAGGGAGAAATTGTTGTCTCCGTAAAGTGCAGTGCAGACACTGATTTGACACCTTAATCAAATCACTTAAAAGGTTTGCCCTGTAGAATGGGCCTGAAATCATGAAGGATTTCACCCAAAAAAAGATCACACCTTTCAACTGTACTTAAAGTTTGCAGATTAGTTGGAAAATGAAATCATTTATAGTTTTTTACAACACCTTCAGCAAATACGTTTTTTTTGTGACATTTTTCTCTGGGTGAGAAAAATTTCACTTTCTTAGTCATACTAATGATACGTCAAATTTACAAGAAAAAGTAAATTTCCTTTACTTGTAATAAGTTATACAAAGTGACTACACTAAAAAACGAAATGAAATAGCTTTCCCATGCAATATATTTACATTTTGAGCAGTTGATATCTATGATAGGTTTCTACTCGCACAGATAAACCTAGTAGTCATTCTATTTTTATATATCTTTATTTAGAATAGATAAATTAAAAGTGCCCTGTTTTCTGGTTTCATGGACTTGAAACAGTTTAAAGAAAAAGTGATATTCCTGACACGAGTTTATTTCATAATCATCTCTTAACGGTCTAACTGAAATCATGCTTGCTAAAAAATAAAATGTTATCAGACCGACTGAGATAAGGGAACTCTAAGCACAACAAGAGGTATATTGATAAGCTCTGCAGGAAATACAGTATACAGTAAGTCGTTTAGAGACACGTACACTCACTGACCGCCATATTGGACAGCTCATCAACCTTAGGCTGTCCGTCCTTGAAGTACAGTATTACCAATGGCTCGTATTCCTTGGGTACACAGCAGGGGTCCCCAGGGGCGTTTGGGTTGATTCTATTGTATAGGGCCATAATGGACGTATGATGGTTCTGTTTCTCGCTCCCCCACAGAAAAGGGCACCGCCCCGCGCAGTAGTTGGCATAGANCATAATCATCTCTTAACGGTCTAACTGAAATCATGCTTGCTAAAAAATAAAATGTTATCAGACCGACTGAGATAAGGGAACTCTAAGCACAACAAGAGGTATATTGATAAGCTCTGCAGGAAATACAGTATACAGTAAGTCGTTTACAGACATGTACACTCACTGACCGCCATATTGGACAGCTCATCAACCTTAGGCTGTCCGTCCTTGAAGTACAGTATTACCAATGGCTCATATTCCTTGGGTACACAGCAGGGGTCCCCAGGGGCGTTAGGGTTGATTCTATTGTATAGGGCCATAATGGACGTATGATGGTTCTGTTTCTCGCTCCCCCACAGAAAAGGGCACCGCCCCGCGCAGTAGTTGGCATAGAAACCTTTGGGAGCGTGAATCCACTTCCATCGCAAATCCTTCTCGAAGTCGATGTACAGCGAGCGAAGGCAACAGCGAGACTCTCGTGGTCGCTTTTTACAGAATCTCCAGTTAAGCGAGCGCCTGTTTCTTCGTCGACTTGTGGTCTCCACTCGCTCACGAGGAACGAACCATACAAGGATATTTGGCCATGGTTCTTCGAAATCATTCCCGACATTTTTATCCTCCGCTCCACCAAGGTAGATTGGAGAGAAGTGAGAATTTTTGTCCACACCAGCTGTGCTTGTCACCGTCACAGTTAATCCGTGATCACTCGTTTTCGGATCGTACAGCCATTTTTGAACCACTGCTGTGACGTCTAAAGAGACCCACTTCTTTTCACTGGAGAGACTCCATTCTGAATCGAGGGCGTTGTAGCCACCACATTGGGTGTGGTTGTTATAAGACTCACAAACCTCAATACGAACCCCATCATGAGACTGTCGTTTGTTGGGCGTTTGGTAAACTCGGAGCTCTGCCAAAGACACTCGGGCAACATCTACTAATAACTTGCTGGCGTTAAATCTCAGTTCGTAGACGTCGATTATTTCTTCGGAACCTGTTAAATTAATCACAAATACCAAATAAATGTATAATATTGACTGTTTTTGATAACAATAACAATCCAGTACAAACAGGTGTTTATTAAAATTGCGCCCCTCTAGAATAAAATTTGCTACAACATAACACCGTTATAACGATCGGAATAAGAAATTAAGAAAATTCAACATGTCCTGGAGGTATGTTTGTAATAGCAAAAGCGATTCTTTGCCGCTGCGTTCCATGTTTTAGCTGTCTTTAATAGTTAGCTCGAGCGACGAATCTAATCGGCAGCTTGCTTACAAAAAAAAAAAAAACAGGTAAGTATGGTTTCCAAGCCAAATGATTTTTCAAGCTCATTTCAAGAGGTTTTCTCGTAACCTCTTGCTCATAATCTGTACAGGATCCTCTGTGTCCTCTGTATTTTTGTTCCGAGTAAAATGAAGCGGATTATTCCAGTAAATTACTTTCCATTTGCTTCCTTTCATTACTATTCAGGCCAGGAAAAATAGAGACCTGAAATTAAAATCATCATGCAGAAGTCTTCCTTATGGCTGTATTGTTGCTATGCTTACAAGCCTAGTCAGTCCAGACTTACTTGATTTCACCGTTCTGGCAAACTCCTTTTCCAATGTAAGCCTTTCGACTCTCTTTGCGAAGTATTCCTCGCTCGATTCTGCTTGAGAACGGCACAACTTAGACTTGACAAAAAGTTTGTCTTTTTCGTGTACTGCGCTCTTGTATGTCTGCATCACGTCGCGACTTATATTCATATAATTTTCCCCGCTAGGAGGCTGTGTCATATCAAGCTTCGCTAAAATCTGACCTTGGACGGTCCATAATCGCTTTTCTTTCTCCACTCTGCTATTGCAAGTCTTACAACCAAACACAAATGCCGTACCAACAAGATGAAACCATATAAAGAGCCAGATATAGGTCCATAAAACGTTAAAAATTGACAACGCCATTTTTGATCTCGCATCGAACATTCAGCGAAATCTCTTGACAACTACATCGGTTCAGAATAGAGTGTAATTAAGATCTTTTGAAATGGCAGCCTTTTGTTTAAGCGACTGTTAATAAGATAATAAGATATTTTACGCTCTACATACTAATAGCTCTGGGTCCCTCACAAGAAAATTAATTAAGAAAATGTGATCATTACACGTTTCCGGGAAACTGCCCACCTACCCCTCCCCTAAACCAAAATTAACACTTACTTCTCACTTAGGGAAAAATGTTGGCTTAGGGGAGGGGTAGGTGGGAAGTTTCCCAGAAACTTATATTTATCCAATGTTTTAATGAGACTGTTTGATAACTTATTGTCCCATCGGCACCTTTCACTCCGAATTAATGAATGTCATAATTAACGCCTTTGGGCCGCTATCACAACGCAGCTGAAACAGCCCTACTTAGCAAAGGATCACATAGACATTAATAACAAAACAGCAAAGAGAAAAGCGACTTGAAGTTTCCTCTATTTTTGTCTTGGATAAAACAGCAGGACTTGGCTGTCGTCGTTTTATATAAAAAAGTTCCATAGGAGCATAGGTTTGGTTTGATATTTTTGTAATCAGTCATAACTACTGCTCGGACATTGAATAGTAACATTCGCCTCCTCTAAAAGTACTCAGTTCTATAGTCAACACTTATTGCTCAAGCCAGATTGAGCCGATCTAATCATTAAAAAAAAAAAAAAAAATTAGGACCCACTGGGTTTTAAGGAGTTTCTGTTATTTTGCCCTTTTTATTAAGGTTAATAGTGAAAATATTAATTCAAATTTTCTTGTTCGGCCGTTTTTCTGATCCTTATAATATATTTAACACTTAACTGTTTGTTGATTACACAAATCGACTTATCAGACCCCTTGATCCATGATATCTCTTACCCTGTTTAGCAAACTCGTTCCCAATTCTTGTTCGTAACCCTAAAACGAAGGGAGAGGCCATGGGAACGAGGATTTATAGTTTCGTTCAGTTTAAAATGTTGTTTCTTTTCCCATTTTCTATCCCGTTCTTCATTTGGTTTTCCCTTCCTTTCAATTCCTCTCCGTTTGTTCCATCTTCCAATTCAAGAGTCCATGACCCCGGAGATACCATCTGCTATTTTTCCAGGAGAGCTTTATGGTCTTTATGGAGAAAGTTTGGTCCTCCAGTCTATTTTTAGAGTCATATTCCCACACACATTTGTGGGGCTCTGCACTTCTGGGCTAGACTCTGTTTTACTCTATATTCCAAGATGAAGTTAAACCACTATCCGCTAAGCTGAACTGTAGCTTCTTCGCCTGCCCCAAATTCGACATTCGCCGTTAGTGTTGCTTTGCTGGAAATCCCATTATCGACCCTAGTGCGTACGCTTCTGACCCCTTGGCGATCAACTCTGCGGTCGAGAATGCCTCTCTGATTGGCTCAAAGTTTGGCGCGAAAGAAAAATCCGGTTGGCTTGACGGCGGAAAACTTTCTGAAGACAGAGGGCGGCGAGCTCGTCCAGTGGGCCGCTGTTCCATATGAGACGAGTGGGGAGACGAGGTTGAGAGGGTGGCCGAAGTTTATGGCAAAATTATGATTAACAGCTGGAGTTTGCGCGACACGGATCATTACATTCAAGAAAAGAATCTGTACACCTTAACTCGAAGTGAATCAATTCTAATGTAAAATTTAATGAAATACAATGGTGACACAGGGCTTGACGAGTGGCAAGCTGTCATAAAAAAGTAAAAGTCAGTTTTTCATTAAACTGACGTTACATGTGAAGATGATGAACAGGGGCACCCAACGACAATTTTCGGAAAATTATCTGTTCGGAAGACGATTTGAGATCTAGAATTTTCGGATGATTTCCTGTAAAATTTCTTGCTTGCCTGCCTCTCCTAGGATTTTCGAACATCAAACAAGTGGTATAATTGCCCACTTTTAATGGATTTTTACTCTAAAAAGGTCACCTAGAATTTTCGGAAGCCTTTTTTCTGGCTGAAATTTTCGAAAAGCTAAATTTTGATCCCTATAATTTTCGGATCACTATACTTTCAGCTAGGAAATCCGAACAGATGAAAAATTTTTTGGGGATAAAAATAAGCCTTTATCTACCGTTTAAATACTAAAGTACGTTCAACAATGCTATGTTTATGTGGTTTTGAACTATATTCTCGTTGGGTGCCCCTGGATGCGGTACAAGACTCACTGAAGAGTCTTTGATCAAGTAGAAGAAATAATGTTAGGGGAAGAAAAAAGGGGATGATGAAGGGTAAGTCGGGTTGTATTTTCGGAAGTGAGGATTAGCCGAAGTCAATTTGCTTTATTCATAAATACTGCACGAAGCATTTGACTTTCCCGTGTAAAACATGCTAACAATGTGCTTAAAATCGACTCTGAACCTTCAACTTACTAATGAATTGAAGAGGGTATTCCTTTCTCTCAGCTGGTTTGTATTCATGATTTTTTTTCACTATTTGTTAGATTATTTACTGCAAAGCCATGCACAAATTTTAGGTTTTATTTCTTAACCCTCCTTCCCTCCGACCAAAAAAATATGAATAGTCGATCTATGACTAAAGTAACGGATTGTGATGGTCATGTGCATGAATGGTCCGTACCGGCCACATCAATACTACAAAGTAAGACGTGACTTTAATATAAGCTAGAAGACTCGATCATAAAGTTTTCCTTCTCAACAGACCACAAAGGAAAGAGACACCATTAGTGGTATTATGTTAAGCCTATCACTGTTGACGTTCTATGAATATTAATTTTTTCTACTTCTGTAACCAGTTTTTTCCCCTCGCCCGCCTGATACATAGATTTCTGCTATTGCATAAGCCAAGCGTGGGCGCGTGTGGGCTTTTCCCTTTAAACCAATTAGAATACGACTATTTGATTACGCGACTGTTGATTGGTCCATATGTAAATATCGCAAAGGCGCGTGCAACCACATGTGACGATGTAAACATTGGCATTATAACCGGTTTGTTCGTCTTATTCCAAGGATAGCGAGGAATGTTCTTGCTTTTTTTTGCTTCCCTTATCGCGACGCTTTCAAAAATCTCCAGATTAAGACAGGAGGATGTTCGAGAAACTTAGTTCTCACTCTAACAACAAAGACGAGGCGTCAAAAAGTCTCTGGATCTTTGGTTATGGCTCTTTGATTTGGAAACCTGATTTTCCTTTCGATTATTGCGTAGTGGGTCACATCGAAGGATTTACCCGGAGATTTTGGCAGGGAAGCACTTGGCATCGCGGCGATACGAAGCAGGTAAAGTGTTTTTCATCGACAATTCTTCCCCATGGTTTTGTGGTTGAAATCACTTGTTTTAAAATACGCGTTGTTTTTCTTTTGTAGCCAGGGCGAGTGGTCACTTTGGTTGAGGATAAGCAGGTATGCTATGACTTCCAGTTGTTAAATCACGTATAAAGGATGTCATTTTTTTTTAAGGTTTAAAACTCTATTTTATTTTCTCCACAAAACTGACTAACTGAGTAGTTTTATTCTGAAGTCATAACGCAAGAAAAGCGAGCGTATTTTGCTGAACCGAGATCGGACGTACTTATTCATCTGATCCTGTTGTCACACACTGCTGAACTGAAACCCGAGTTAATAACTACGGTAGCCCAGGCGGTAGCCTGATTTACAGCCGTCACTGATCCCGTAACTGATCTCTGGCTCCCGAGAGATAGTGTGTTCGACCCAAAATCAGGCTAACAAAAAACCGTTATTAGTGTAGCAGAATTTAATGCTCACAAAGGTTAAGTCTTCCCTTATGTACCTTTTTACCATCGATGTCAGTCAGTTTCGTCAATCTTGAGATTGAAAACTTTTAATACGTAGTTTGTGGGCAGGTTGCCGTGATCAAGGAGGTTTACACTTTTATGTATCATTCTTTTGGACTATCCTGCCATTTGATCTATCTGCCATCGTGTGTCATTTTAAAAAGGGCTTTGCAATCCTGTACTTTAGCTGTCGAATATATTTTTTGATAGACAAAAACAAGGTTTCTTTCTTACATTGTTCTCGAGACTATGCAGAATATGTTGAATGTTATGTTTGTTGCAAACAAGTTTCCGTACGTAAGAAATGGAAATTTATTGTACTTTATACCTTAGTACGTTAGTTGTATCTAGCTCATAGTCTAAAACCTTGTTTATCCTTAACATGCAGGAAATTGTATTATTTACGCAGAAATAGTCCCTCACAACGCACATTTGCGTCATTTGCATTCAAAACCAATTAACTTTTAAAAGTGTTTTCCAGTCCAGATACCGCAATGACGAACTAATTTTAAAAGTACTAAGTCCATAGTCTATATAAAGTACTATGTACTTAAAGTGTACTTTAAAAAGCCGTTTATAGACTTAATATCCAGTGAAGCAGTGAAGTGAATTTCAAAGTCCTTAAATTAAGCTGGTCGACTGCGAATTGGACTGGATTGTTGACATTTCAAGAAACGTCGCTTGGCATTACCCTGGCATTAGAAGTCCAACACAAATTTAACAAAACATTATCCGGTTCCTTCCAGCTGTGATGAAAAATTAATTATGTTTTTCTTAGAGAAACACAACACCCTCTGTCAGTAAAACCCAGAAGCAGTAGAATTATATCTGTAGCCCTTTTTGTTAAGTTTGTTTTTCTTTTATCATTCATTGTTTTCACTGATCAAAAGCTAAGCTCCTAGAGTACTTATATCTCGCACAAAAGCTCAATAATAAGCCAACATTTCATCCTCATGAAGTACATTAATTACAATTTTTGTCTTTGCCTTTTCTATTCTTTGCAGGGACAAGTTTGGGGCATGGCGTTTAAAGTGGCCAAAGAACACGTCGAACGCGCGATGGGAAACCTTCATGAACGCGAAATCGCTGTGGGTGGATATGAGCTCCGTCGTTTGCGCTTCAAATGTAACGAAAACCCTTCACATAGCTTCCATGTGTTGGCATACGCCGC